TCCTTCCTTCCTTCCTTCCTTCCTTCCTTCCTTCCTTCCTTCCTTCCTTCCTTCCTATTAGAATGCAGTATTGCAGGCTAATTATGCTCCCAGCCAGGAGTTCGATCCTGACCAGCTCTCAGTTGACTCCGCCTTCCATCCTATTGCCATTTCTCCTTTTGTTTTGCTTTTAGTTTGTTTTGCTAGCTCCATTTGTGCAGCCAGATCTAAGCACCCCGCGGCCCCGATGAGACTACCAATCGGATACCGCAAATCTCTTAGCCCCCCCTCCCCAATCACCATGTTGTTGGATGTTGTGGAGCGTTTAAACTGCTTTTAATGCTTACGTCAGCGTCCCAGCACTGACATATAAATAAAGGGAGGAGAAGCCTGAACTTTTGCCTGCTAAATCCCTTTGAAGATTCTGTCTCCTCGGAGATGGGAGAAGGGGGAGACATTCCTGTGATCTGACGAAGAAGGAATCGGGAAAGTGACTTGGAAGATAGCCAATGAGAAGCAGAGAATTGGGGATCGGAAAGGGAGGGATGGGGGGGCAAAGGTCAGTACTGACCGCGAAAGAGTCAGGATCAGATCGCCGTGCTCGAATAAAGAGAAAATTTCCTTAAAGATCGGCAGTTTGGAAATTCATTTATTTTGAGATAGCATCGAAACCTGACAGCTTGATGGCCCAAAGGGAGATTCTCCAAAAGGCAGCTCTTTCCAGAGGTTCCCATCTCCTTTTGCTTTTTTTTCTCCAGACTCTGCAATTTTCTCCTGGAAAATCCAGACTACCCAAAGAAGGAACTCAGTATGGTTTTAAATCCGAACAGCAGCCTCCTTTCCAGCCAAGACGAGACAAAGGCAAGTGGAGATTTTTCCTCTGTTTACAATCCTTCGTTTTTTACAATCCTCTGTTTAGTGACTGCTCGAAGCTACAGTCGCCCTGAAAAAAAAAAAGGAACTTACGGCCAGTCCTCGCGCTTACGGCCGTCCCAGGGTCCCCCAAGGTCACGGGATCAGAATCCAGGTGCTCGGCAACGAGCCTGTACTTAACGATAGTCGGCAGCCATCGTCCTGGGGTGCGGGTGATGCCCGTGGGTGGACTTTCCCAGCCGGCTTTGGACGAGCAAAGGCAATGGGGCAAGCAGGATTCGTTTAATGCCTGCGTGGTTTGCTTAACCACTGTGGCGGAAAAGGCTGTAAAAATTGGGCGTGGCTCATTTAACAACCCTGGTCCCAAATGTAAGCCATATATTGGGGGTTACCGGTTTGTATCTTCAGAACTGCCTTAAAAATTCTAATGTGTACCTAAGAAAGTTTGCCTAAAAAAAAATGCCTAACTTTTCTTTTCTTTTTTCCTCTTCTTCCTCCTCCTCCTCCCTCTTCCCCTTTTTTTCCTCCCTCCTCCTCTTCTTCCTCTTCCTCCACCACTTCCTCACTCCTCCTCTTCTGCCTCCTCCCTCTTCCTCCTCCTCCCTCCTTCCTTCCTCCTCCTTCCTCTTCCTCCCTCTTCTTCCTCTTTTTCCTCCCTTTTCCTCCTCTTCCTCCCTCCTCCTTTTCCTCCTCCTCCTCCTTTCCTCCTCCCTTTCTTCCTCTTCCTCCTCTTTCCTCCCTCTTTTTCCTCCTCCTCCTCCCTCCTCCTCTTCTTTCTCCTTCCGCCTCCTCCCTTCCTCCTCCTCCTTCCTTCCTCTTCCTCCTCTTTTTCCTCCCTTTTCCCTCCCTCCTCCTCCTTTTCCTCCTCCTCCTTTCCTCCTCCCCTTCTTCCTCTTCCTCCCTCTTCCTCCTCCTTTCCTCCTCCCCTTTTTCCTCCTCCTCCTCCTCCTCCTCCTCTTCCTCCTTTAGGTGCCTAAAGTGGACTATTTTGACTTCTCCAAACTGGATCCACTCGACCAGCGTTGCTTCATTCAAGCCGCTGACCTCCTCATGGCCGACTTCAAAATGCTGAGCAGCCAAGACATCAAGTGGGCACTCCACGAACTCAAGGGACACTATGCAATCACCCGAAAGGTTCTCCCCCCCTCTTGCTTCTCCCCCTCCTTTCTAGGAACACCCCCTCCTTTTATGTCCAAAACAGAGAAGCGCAACCTGGGCTCAGAAAAGAAATCCCTTGGGAGCCCGGAATTCAAAGACTACCTCTGATATGGGTAGTCCTCGACTTACGACCACAATTCAGCCCCAAATTTCCACTGCTGAGCGGGACCGTTGTTAAGTGAGTTTGGTTCCATTTTGTGACCTTTCTTGCCACGGTTGTTAAGCGAATCGCTGCGGCTGTTAAGCGAGTAACACGGTTGTTAAGTGAATCTGGCTTCCCCGTTGACTTTTTGCTTGGCAGAAGTTGGCAAAAATTGATCGTTTGAACCTGAGGACACTGCGACCTGTCATACATAACGGTTGCCAAGTGTCCGAATTCTGATCACATGACCACAGGGACGGACGCAACCATTGTTAAGTGTGAAAAATTGTTATGTCCCTTTTTTTTTTCAATGCTGTTGCAACTTTGGTCACTAAATGAATGGTTGTAAGTCGAGGACAAAAGACGCGGTGGCTCAGTGGCTAAGACGCTGAGCTTGTCGATCGGAAGGTCGGCAGTTCAGCGGTTCGAATCCCCAGTGCTGCGTAACGAGGTGAGCTCCCGTTCCTTGTCCCAGCTTCTGCCAACCTAGTAGTTCGAAAGCACGTAAAAAGAAAAATGCAAGTAGAAAAATAGGCACCACCTTTGGTGGGAAGGGAACAGCGTTCGTTCCGTGCACCTTTGGCGTTGAGTCATGCCGGCCACATGACCACGGAGACGTCTTCGGACAGCGCTGGCTCTTCGGCTTTGGAACGGAGATGAGCACCGCCCCCTAGAGTCGGGAACGACTAGCACAGATGTGCGAGGGGAACCTTTACCTTAACCTAAGTCGAGGACTATCAGCAGAGAAAAGCCTGTGAAACTTGGGTTGGGGGGAAGCAACTCCAACCGCTCTGGATAATTCTGGCCATCTCTTTCCTCTTTATCAAAAGCATTTCACTGCCTCTCACATTTCCCAGACAAATAGCCGTAGCTGAAAGAAATAGTGCAGAAAACCCCGATTCCCAAGAGCAGGGCAGTCGGCAAAATCCAGATAGCAGCTTAATGATTAAAAGCGTTAAGAGCCCATAACGTTAACAGACTCTATTAATATTAATCTATTTCTGCATTGCTTACCTCTCTGCGTATCAGAGGCTCGGCTCGGGTGATACTAAATGCACAATTCCCGACTGACCAAATGCCGTTGTAAACAGAAAGTTTTCACTTATCCCGAGTTTTCCTTTGCTTTATTCTATCTATGACTGCAGTCAATTCTTTCCAAATCTCAGGGCCTTCAAGTGATTTCCACGTAAGATCCCAAAGCAGGTAACACTTATATACTGCTTCATGGTGCTTGACAGCACACACTCAGCGATTTACGGAGTCAGCCTATTGCCTCCAAAAATCAGGGTCCTCATTTTTCCCACTTTGAAAGGATGGAAGGCTGAGTCAACCTGGAGCCGGTCAGGATCGAACTCTTGGCAGTCGGCAGAATTAGCCTGAAAAATTGCACTGTAACAAGTGCACCACTATGCCTTCCTTCCTTCCTTCCTTCCTTCCTTCCTTCCTTCCTTCCTTCCTTCCTTCCTTCCTTCCTTCCTTTCTTCCTTCCTTCCTTCCGTCCTTCCTTCCTTCCTTCCTTCCTTCCTTCCTTCCTTCCTTCCTTCCTTCCTTCCTTCCTTCCTTCCTTCCCAAGCAATAACAGACTTACATACCACTTCATAATGCTTTACAGCACAATAAACTGTCTACAAAGTCAGCCTCTTTGCCCCCAACAATCTGAGTCCTCATTTTACCGACCTTGGAAGAACGGAAGGCTGAGTCAACTTTGAGCCAGTCAGGATCGAACTCCTGGCAGTGGGCAGAATTAGCCTGCAACACTGCATTGTAACAACTGCACTGCTATGCCTGCCTGCCTTCCTTCCTTCCTTCCTTCCTTCCTTCCTTCCTTCCTTCCTTCCTTCCTCCCTCCCTCCCTCCCTCCCTCCCTCCCTCCCTTCCCAACCTATAGCAGACTTATATCCCGCTTCCCAGCCCTCTCTAATCAGTTGACAGAGTCAGCCTCTTGCCCCCAACAATCTGGGTCCTCATTTTACCAACCTCGGAAGGCTGAGTCAACCTGGAGCCGCTCAGAATCGAACTCCTGAAGCGAGCAGTGAGTTCCTAGGCGAGGGTAGCCCATTGGATTGATTCCAGTGGGATCAGATCAAGCCACTGCCACCTCCCTGATGTGTCTGGCTCCAGTGAGATTCTGTTGTGTCTTTCATCCAGGGCCGGTGTTCATTTAGATAAGCCGCCAACCTAATTGGCAGCAGCTCCTCCGTACCAGGGTGCACCCCGCTGGCCTATGACCGTAATAAAGATTGGATTGATAATCCTGTTTGTGCAGGAGTGTCTTTGTGCCAGGAGAGTCCTTTGCAGAGGGATTGAAATTAGTTTAGGGAAATTAGCGGTGGAGCCTTCAAGCATGGGGGTGCCCTTCCTTTTTCGTGGGATAAGATCTCCCCTTTCCACTAAAATGGGATGCTAAACTTCTCCATCCTCCAGAAGGAGCACGAGAGAGAGACTTGGATAAAGTTACGTATTGGCTTGGCTTCCATCGACAATTTAATTACAAGCAGAAATGAACGGATTCTCTCTCTCTCTCTTTTTTTTTAAACAATCGTTTTATTTAAAACAAAGCCTACAAAAACCAACGCAAACTAATAAAAAGTTAGAAGCAGGAGAAAGTAGGAAGAAAAAGGCCAGAGAGAATAAAAACAGAGAAGAGGTTTCCCTGTTTCCTTTGCAGCAAATAAAAAAATTCAATTACAAAATCATCTCTTTATCTGCGATGGCAGGGGGAAAAAAAAAAAACCCCGCTTGTTTAAATTTTCCAGGGTGTGTTTTTTTTAAAAAAAATCATCAAAGCGATAAGTCATAAATGCATCCCCTCGCATCTCCTCCCTTTCATGCAAAAGATCTATAACTCGGGTTTCCAGTAAATAAAGAAATGCAGATCACTGTACATGTAAAATATAAATGTAGATCCTTTTTTTTCCCTCTCTGATCAAAGACGTTAATTTAGCCATCCCTAGAAGCTCCACCTTCAGATGACTTATTCTGCAGTTGTAGGGATAATAATTTTCTCCCGCCCCTGTGAAAAGTTGACACTTGGTTTACAACCTTTCAAAGGCACAGCTGCACCTGGGATTTTTTGAGGAGGGGAGGCTGCCCAAGGCTTCCCTGCCTTCTAGCATGCAGACTCAAACCCTCCCCATTCCAGATAGCAACGAACGATTTAATTTACATCTGTGGTTCCATCTTCACATCTGGTTTCACGGCTTTTTTCCCCCCCTTCCCTCTTCTTTTAGGCCTTTTCCGATGCCATCAAAAAGTGGCAGGAGTTATCTCCTGAACCCAGTGGGAAGCGAAAAAGGAGGAAAGAAATGAATCAGTATTCTTACATAGACTTCAAATTTGAGCAGGGTAAGCGGCTTCTGATGGAGGGTGCTTTTGCAGAGGTGGACTCAAAACTGTTGGTGGCGGCATGTAAAAATAAGAGGCAATTTTATCCAGAGAGATGGGTCTCCACTTCAGGGTTTCAGCATGAATGTTTGAGAGAGACTGATCTGGTAGATCTTAAGGTGGGAAGTCTATGCAGATTCTCAGTCCTCCAGGTCATGGAGGCAACTCGACTTCCTTGTTTTTATCCTTTTGAAGACGTTTCACTTCTCACTCAAGAAGCTTCTTCAACTCTGACTGGATGGTGGAGAATGGAAGGATTTCCGTCGTTCCCTGAAAACCCATCTTTTCCAGCAAGCCGGGTTGGCTTAAGAAGAAATTTTAAAATTCTTTTAATTAGTTTATGATTTTTTTAACTTTCGGGCCAAAATTTATATATATATTTAAATGTTTTAATATTTGTATTCCATGTTTTTTATCTTGGCTGTACACCGCCCTGAGTCCTCAGGGAGAAGGGCGGTATATAAATTGGAAATTAAATTAAATTAAATTAAATTATACTCCTTGCAGACAGAGCTGGTCATCTGCGTCCTTTTAGAGGGTCGTCGAGGCCACTTGGAGGTTTATCTGTGTCCTCAGGGTCACCTGAGTGGGTGTTAATGGTTCCTGTAGTCTGCCATTTTTTCCCTCTGGAAATCCATTCCTACTTTCACACCATTCTAAGGGTGTTCATCAAATTGTATAGCTAAAAGTCTGTTGAGATTCTTAAGTCATCCAAGATCATGGTTGACTCAAAGATGCTTTTTTCAGGAGGCAATGGGACTTTCTGGTTTTTTCTTTTGAAGACATTTCACTTCTCATCCAAGAAGCTTCTTCAACTCTGAATGGATGGTGGGGAACGGAAGGATTTGTACTCCTTGCAGTCAGCTGGTCGTTTGCATTCTATTTAGAAAGTCGTTGAGGCTACTGGGAAGTTTAACTGAGTCCTCCCAAGTCAACTGAGCGGTGCAAATAGGCGTGGAGCCTTCTTGGAACTTCTGCAGAGAAACCTCCAAGTGGCCTCAACGGCCTTCTAAAAGGATGCAAATGACCAGCTGTCTGCAAGGAGTATCAATCCTTCCATTCCCCACCATCCAGTCAGAGCTGAAGAAGCTTCTTGGATGAGAAGCGAAACGTCTTCAAAAGGAAAAAAAACAAGGAAGTTGAGTTGCCTCCATGACCTGGAGGACTGAGAATCTGCATAGACTTCCCACCTTAAGATCTACCAGATCAGTCTCTCTCAAACATTCATGCTGAAACACTGAAGGGGAGACCCTTTGGATAAAATCGCCTCTTATTTTTACATGCCAACAGTTACAGTTACAGAGATGAAGAAGCTTCTCGGATTCCGTCTTTAAGGTCTTCTTCATTAAGAGAAGCATTTGATTTTTCCTTTTTTTCCCCCCCCCTCTCTCTCCCTTTTTAACCACCCCCGTCATGGCTTTCAAACGATGCTCCAGGTGACACGAAGATTGAGAAGCGCATGTTTTTCTTGGAGAACAAGAGGCGCCACTGGAGGAGTTACGACCAGCTCTCCCTCCTGCCCCCGGTGCAGCTGGAGAGGGAGTTTTACGAACAGAAGATCAAAGAGATGGCAGAGGTAGTTACAAGCCCTGGGAGGGAGGGGAAATGGGGTTTTCTTCCCTCTCTTGTACATCCATATCTCCGTAAAATCAAAGGCTGGAGCACTGTAGGTTGAACCTATAGTAAAAAACGGTGCAAAAACTCCTTAAAATAAATTGTGTATTCTTAGTGGGATACACTTGTAATTTGTTTTCATTCATTCATTCATTCATGCATGCATGCATTCATTCATTCGATCGTTCAGGTTCTTTTTTTATATATACAATTTTTATTAGTTTATAACAATGATGGCGAACCTTTTAAGAGACCGAGGGCCCAAACCGCAGCCCAAAATCCACTTATTTATCGCAGAGTGCCAACATGGCAATTTAACCTGAATAATGAGGATTTACTCCCTAAAATAATGATAAACAGGGTAGAGTTCAGCTAAATGTTCTAAGAAAAACGTGATAAATCTTATGCCTCTTCATTTTCCCCCCCCTACATTTGAAATATTACGTTTAGCAACAATAAAAAAGAAAAACTTTTCTAATATCATTTCTTTCCCTCCCTCTCTCTCTTTCCCCCTCTTTGTCTCGCTCTCTCTTCCCCTCCCTCTTTCTTTCCCTCCCTCCCTCTTTCCCTCTCTCTTCTCCTCCCTCCCTCTCTCTTTCTCCCTCTCTCTTCCCCTCCCCCTCTCTTTTTCTCCCTCTCTCTCTTTTCCTCCCTCTCTCTCCCTCTCTCTTCCCCTCCCTCCCTCTCCCTCTCTCTTCTCCCTCCCTCTCTCTTTCTCTCCCTCTCTCTTCCCCTCCCCCTCTCTCTTTTTCTCCCTCTTTCTTCCCCTCCCGCTCTCTCTTCCCCTCCCTCTCTCTCTCCTTCTCTCTCTTTCTCTCCCTCTCTCTTTCCCTCTCTCTTCCCCTCCCTCTTCTCTCTCTCTTCTCCTCCCTCTCTCTTTCCCTTCTTCTTTCTCACCCTCTTTCACAGCCATCCATTGCAAATCACAAGTTTATTTTTAAACAGTGCACAAGGGGTTTCCAGTCACTAAGACAGATGTTCTATTTTTCACTCTTACCAGTGCTTAAGTGTGTCTTTTCTCTCTTGCCAGCATGCAGACTTCCTTCTTGCCCTGCAGATGAACGAGGAGCAGTATCAAAAAGTAAGTAGTCCAAAGGCATCTCTGACCAATTGTATTGTGTCGCTTTATGAAAAAAAAAACACTGGCTGCATCGAGCTGTGATGGCAGTCACGGCCGTCCGAAAGTCCACACGGTCACAATTTGAGCGCTTGGCAATCAACATGATTTTATGGGGTCACGTGATCGCCATTTTTTGCGACCCGCAAGCAAAGTTCATGGGGAAAGCCAGCTTTGCATAACGACCACATAATTCATTTAATAACTGCAGTGACTCACTTAATGACCGCTGGAAAAAAAGGGACCTAAAACCAGGGGTGGCCCTGCGATACCTCGCTTAACAAGTGTACCACTTAACGACAAATTTCCCCTTGCTAGTTGTGGTCATAAGTCAAGGACTAGGACTTGTTAGCAATGTGGTTTTTTTCCTCCATGTTTTCTTTTGAATTCTTTATCTTCTTGTGCACCTTGTGTTTTCTTTTCAAAAATACTCGTATGCCTCTCGTAAAAATCCTCTGCTTTAAGGGTAGAGTCCAATCTATATTTTCTAGTATTCCAATTGATTTCAGGTCCCCTCCGAGATCAACCATCTAAAATTTATTCCTTTTTCATTTAGTTTTGTGGGTGAAGAATTGATATTGTTTCCTTAGCTCTCTTACCTTCCAAGAGGTCTGTTTCAGCGCCATGATTTCCTTTCCTCTGTATTGCAATGGTTCTTCTCTCTCTCTCTCTCTCTCTCTCGTTCTCCGCACAAATCTTAACAAGGACTTAGAATAGAATGCAATAGAATAACAAGAGTTGGAAGGGACCTTGGAGGTCTTCTAGTCCAACCCCCCTGCTTAGGCAGGAAACCCTCCACCACTTCAGACAAATGGCTATCCAACCTCTTCTTAAAAACTTCCAGTGTTGGAGCATTCACAACTTCTGCAGGCAAGTTGTTCCACTGATGAATTGTTCTCACTGTCAGGAAATTTCTCCTTATTTCTAAGTTGCTTCTCTCCTTGATGAGTTTCCACCCATTGCTTCTTGTCCTGCATTCAGGTGCTCTGGAGAATAGCTTGACTCCCTCTTCTTTGGGGCAGCCCCTGAGATATTGGAAGACTGCTATCATGTCTCCCCTAGTCCTTCTTTTCATCAGACAAGACATACCCAATTCCTGCAACCATTCTTCGTATGTTTTAGCCTCCAGTCCCCTAATCACCTTAGTTGCTCTTCTCTGCACTCTTTCTAGAGTCTCCACATCTTTTTTTACATCGTGGCGACCAAAACTGGATGCAGGATTCCAAGTGTGGCCTTATCAAGGCCTTATAAAGTGGTATATTAACACTTCACGTGATCTTGATTCTATCCCTCTGTTTATGCAGCCTAGAACTGTGTTGGCTTTTTTGGCAGCTGCTGCTCACGGCTGGCTCATATCTAAATGGTTGTCCACTAGGACCCCAAGATCCTTCTCACAGTCACCACTATTGAGCAAGGTACATAAACTGTACCTGTAGCATTTTGTTTGTCTTGCCTAAATGTAGAACCTTTGTTTTTTTTCACCATCGAATTTCATTTTGTTAGACAGCGCCCAATGTTCAGTGTTCAACTTGTTAGCAATGTTGGTTCGTGGTTAACTCGGTTGTTTCACCTCTTCCACCCATGGTTTATCAGATGCTTCCTGTTCTTCAGAATTGGGCCTATGAAATATTTGTTTCGTGTTGTCAAGGTGCATTTGAAGCCGATCGGGCTTTGATAACGCCTGAGGTGGGCTCGCACAGGTGTCCCTTTCTCTGCGTTGCAGCTTCGTGCCAAGAGAAGGGAGCCACTTCTAGGCAGTTTTTATTTATTTTTTTGATTTGATTTATATGCCGCCCTTCTCCGGAGACTCAGGGCGGCTTACAATGTGTTAAGCAATAGCCTTCATCCTTTTGTATATTTATACAAAGTCAGCTTATTGCCCCCACAAACTGGGTCCTCATTTCACCTACCTTAGAAAGGATGGAAGGCTGAGTCAACCTTGAGCCTGGTGAGATTTGAACTTGCAGTAATTGCAAGCAGCAGATGTTAATCTGTTAATAACAGTGCTTTACTCCACTGTACTACAGTTGCTAAGAACTCCCCTTTGGCGTCTGCTTTTCAGGATGGCCAGCTGATCGAATGCCGCTGCTGCTACGGGGAATTTGCGTTCGAAGAGCTGACGCAGTGCGCCGACGGACACCTGTTCTGCAAGGAATGCTTAATAAAATACGCTCAGGAGGCCGTCTTTGGCTCCGGGAAGGTGAGGAGCCTCTCTTTAGGGCACCACCCAAAGCAGATGGGATTTGTGGAGTGGGGGGAGGAAGGAGGTCAGGAGGAGGACTTGTGGGTTCCTTGGTGGTCTCTGGGCCTGGTGGTTTTCTTGCAGATGTTTCATGACCCAAACTAGGGAGCATCATCAGTGCTAGTCTGAGGATTACTAACACTGCTGATGTGACCTAGTTTGGGTAATGAATCATGCCTCCCTGCCTGCCTCTCATTTCCTTCTTTCCTTCCTTCCTTCCTTCCTTCCTTCCTTCCTTCCTTCCTTCCTTCCTTCCTCGCTTCTTGTCTTTCCTTTCTCCCTCCCTCCCTCTCCAATTTTCCTCCTTCCTTTCTCCTTCCCTCCCCTCTTCCCTTGTCCTTCCTTCCTCCCTCCCTCCCTCTCCAATTTTCCTCCTCTTCCTTCCTTCCTCCCTCCCTCCCCTTGTCCTTCCTTTCTATCTCCCTCCCTCCCTCCCTCTCCAATTTTCCTCCTTCTTTCCTCCCTCCCTCCCCTCTCCCTTGTCCTTCCTTCCTCCCTCCCTCCCTCTCCAATTTTCCTCCTTCCTTCCTCCCTCCCTCCCCTCTTCCCTCCTTCCTTCCTCCCTCCCTCCCTCTCCAATTTTCCTCCTTCCTTCCTCCCTCCCTCCCCTCTTCCCTTGTCCTTCCTTTCTCCCTCCCTCCCTCCCTCTCCAATTTTCCTCCTCCTTTCCTCCCTCCCCTCTTTCCTTGTCCTTGCTTTCTCCCTCCCTCCCTCTCGTCTTCAATTTTCCTCCTTCCTTCCTTTCTTCCTTCCTTCCTTCCTTCCCTCCTTCCCAAGCAATAGCATATACCGCTTCACGGTGCTTTACAGCCCTCTCTAAGCAGTTTACAGAGTCAGCCTCTTGCCCCCAACAATCTGGGTCCTCATTTTACCCACCTCGGAAGGATGGAAGGCTGAGTCCACCTTGAGCCAGTCAGGATTGAACTCCTGGCAGTGGGGCATAGTCTGCCTGCAGTTCTGCATTCTGAGCCACCCCAACTCCTGACATGCACAACCTTCACTCCGGGCCTGTAACCTTCATGTCCTCCCTTCTTCTTCCTCCTCCTCCTCTTCCTTCTTCCCCGAATGCAGTCGGAGCTCAGCTGCATGGAAGGGAGCTGCACGTGTTCCTTCCCCGCCACCGAACTGGAGAAAGTGCTTCCTGAAAACATCCTCTGTAAATACTACGAGAGGAAAGCCGAGGAGGAAGTGGCGGCTGCTTGCGCGGATGAACTTGTCAGGTAAAGCTCGCTGTCCAGGCTGAATTGGGACATTTGTGTGTGTGGGAGGGGCTTAGGAGCATCCTCCCACCTTTTCAAGGTGCTCTCTATGTGGTAGCGGCTGCTGGTGGGGCCTCCCCAATCCACATCACGAGTCGGAGACATGTCGAATCCTGGCCTTTTAAGAGCTCGGTAAAGCTTGGTCTGCGTAGAGGCATCTGTAAACCAGGTGTGTGACAACGCATCTGTTTCCTCTTTCTCGATGCCGTTCTCCTTTTCTGCAGACCCTCTGATCTCTCTACCGGCCAGGAACCTCAATGAGGTTATTTTTCCTTCCTTAACGTCGCAAATCGGGGCCCAAAATTCCCACGCTAAGCGAGAAAGGTCGCCCGATTTTACGACCTTTGCGTCCCGGGGGTTGTTGAGCGAATCACTGCAGTTGTTGAGTGAAATTGCGTGGTCTGGCTTCTCCCATTGGCTTCGTTTGTCAGAAGCCGGCCGGGAAGGTCACCAACAGGCGATCCTCGGGACTCTGCAACGATCGTTAAGTGCGAGGACCGCTCGTCGTTTTGCTTTTTTTTCAGTGCTGGTATAACTTTGAGCAGTTGAGTTGTAAGTCGAGGATTACCTGCGCTGAGAAGGAAGGCCGGGGTGGCTGTTAACGTCCGCATTTGTTGTGGCCCATCAGCGGCCTGTACGGATTGTAGCTGATTCCGACAACGAGGAGGCTGGTCTGGTGCTGCGCCAGCAGCCTGTGCAGCTGGCGCTCAAGTCGGACAGTGAGGAGGCTGGAGAAGACGTGGTGCCAGAGGCAGGGATTCAGCCAGGACCTCCAGAAGCTCCTTTAAGTGAAGAGGACGAAGAGGAGGAGCCTCTTCTCAATGCACGGGCGCACAGAGCTGCCAAAAGGCAGGAGTGGCTCCTCAGGAGGAGGTCTCCTCGAGAGTAAGGCTTGGGGCTAATTGGCCATTCCCTTAGCCTATTTAAGGAGGAATGCCGATTGCAGCAAGCTGTAGGGAACAACTTTAGTTCACTCTCCTTCGTGTCTAGATTCTCTGCAAAATTGCTTCTGGGCTTTCTACCACTCTAGTAAGACCATGATTACCTTATCTTACAATTCTGGTAGGCTGTTAAGACAGTTTATTAACAGCCTTTGGTTGATAAAGACTGAGTTATATGAGTAAAATAAGCTTTGTATAGAGTTTGTGTGTGCTGCGTTCTTTGGGGTCTGTAGCTGGGGCAGAACAGCACTTCAGCCGGCATCGCCATTGCCATGCCTTGCTTTCGACAACCTTCCCCTTCAAAGCCCCTCACTCGTTCTCTCTCTGGTTTCTAGGTGTCCCTTTTGCAACTTCCCGGCTCTCCTGGACAAGGAGGTGAAGCGCTTCAGCTGTCCCAATCCATGCTGCAGGAAGGTAGGTTATGCCGGTTTATGAAAACCAAATTGACTGTTCGCCTAGCACAGTGTTGGCGAACGTTTTTGGCACCAGGTGCCGAAATGGGAGCATGTGCGCGCACGCGGGGGGAGTATCGGAAACCGGAACGAGCAGCTCCCCGGCGCCTCATCAGAGGCTTTTTTATTTATTTATTTTTAAAAGCATTTTTTCTACAACCTCTTCGGCCGAAAAAATGCTTTTAAAAATAAAAGAAAAAGCCTCTGATGATTGCGCGGCTCAGCTGGGATCGTCAGAGGCTTTTAAAGGCATTTTTTTCTACAACCTCTTCGGCCAAAAAAATGCTTTTAAAAATTAAAAATAAAAGCCTCTGATGATTGCGCGGCTCAGCTGGGATCATCAGAGGCTTTTAAAGGCATTTTTGTCTGCAACCTCTTCAGCCGAAGAGGTTGTAGGGGGAAAAAAATGCCTTTAAAAGCCTCTGACGATCCCAGCTGAGTTGCCTGATCGTCAGAGGCTTCTAAAAGCATTTTTTTTCCTGCAACCTCTTAAGGTTGTAGAAAAAAATGCTTTTAAAAGTAAAAAAAAGAAAAGAAAAGTTGGGCACGCCCACCCAGTCACATTCCCCCCTGCCACCAAGCCACGCCCACAAAATAAGCCACGCCCACCGAACCGGTAGTAAAAAAAAATTAGAACCCACCCCTATTTCCCCATGACTTAAAGCAGAGGAGGGCAACTACAGCAGCCCGTGGACTTCAACTCCCAGAATTCCTGAGCCAGCCGTCGATTGCTGGCTGGCCCAGGAATGGGGGTTTATTTTTAGCTCTGGAAAAGGATCTGCTCAATGAAAGCTTTTTATTTATTTATTTAATGGGACAGTCTCATTGATTAAAAAGCGTGTAACTGCACAAAAGTCCACTTAGGGATGGAAGCCGCTAGATGGCACCATTGGTTAATCCACAGTGAGGAATGAATTCTACGCAGCCTCCTATTTCAAAAAAAAACCAACCCCGAAATAAACCACACCAGCATTTTAGACCTCTTTTGTTCAGTTATCTGTCTTATGGTATAACTCAGTGGTGGAATTCAAATTTTTTTTTACTATCGGTTCAGTGGGCGTGGCTTGGTGGGCGTGGCAGGGGAAGGATACTGCAAAATCCCCATTCCTCCTCCATTCCAGGGGAAGGATACTGCAAAATCCCCATTCCTTCCCCACTCCACTGCAAAATCCCCATTCCCTCCCCACTCCAGGGGAAGGATATTGCAAAATCCCCATTCCTTCCCCACTCCACTGCAAAATCCCCATTCCCTCCCCACTTCAGGGGAAGGATCGTGCAAAATCCCCATTCCCACCCCACTCCAGGGGAAGGACCCTGCAAAATCCCCATTCCTTCTCCATTCCAGGGGAAGGATACTGCAAAATCCCCATTCCTTCCCCACTCCACTGCAAAATCCCCATTCCCTCCCCACTCCAGGGGAAGGATACTGCAAAATCCCCATTCCCTCCCCACCCCAAGGGAAGGACACTGCAAAATCCCCATTCCCTCCCCACTCCAAGGGAAGGACACTGCAAAATCCCCATTCCCTCCCCACTCCAAGGAAAGGACACTGCAAAATCCCCATTCCCTCCCACTCCAGGGGAAGGATCCTGCAAAATCCCCACTCTTGGGGGAAGAATATTGCAAAATCCCCATTCTCTCCCCGCTCCTGGGGGAAGGATATTGCAAAATCTCCATTCCCTCCCCACTCTGGGGCCAGCCAGAGGTGGTATTGGCCAGTTCTCCGAACTACTCAAAATTTCCGCTACCGGTTCTCCAGAACCTGCTGGATTTCACCCCTGGTATAACTTCACCCTTTCTCTAAGGAATTCTTCTTTCTAAATGCAAAAAAAGCTGTTTATCAAAAAAAACAAAAAAAAACCACGGTGTATTGAGTTGGCTTCAGGATTTGAACCCACTTCTCTCTTGATTTGAGTCTGGGGCGAAAGATCTGACTGTTTTATTATGGCTTTTGATGGCAGCGGAAAACCATGTGGTGCAGGAAGCAGCATTGTATTGAATCGATAAACGTTTGCTTTTGAAATACCCCAAAGCCTTAAAAGGGTTTCTAATTTTAATCTCGTTTTGAGTAGCTTTGAAAGCCGGGATCCAAGAATCTCCGGCCGAAATAATTCTGCTTCGGATCCAACACAAATCACCGTTTACTACCCATTCCTCATTATAAGTGACCCGTGGCTTGTTTTGGCGTCTAACAAACTGCGGCTAACTTAAACAAGGACTTGCAAAACAAAATCAGGTTTTAGTTTTACGACTCTTGGCTGTATTTTATTCGAACCAGTGTTCCCAATTTGGATGTAATTAAAGTTCCTAGTAGTTACACCAAGAAAACAGATGCTTTCATCCAGAAAGCCACATCTAAGACAAGAAAGGAAGGGGGGAAACTTTGTGCATTGAATCTCAGATTTTCTTTCTCTCTCTCTCTCTCTTTCCAATGTTGGCTTATAAAATAAAATAGAAGTCCAATAAGAATGATTTCCTTCTCCGCGAATGCATGTCGAGCCTGTCCTGTTATTTGTTCATCAAGCTTGATTTCTGATATACGGGGTAGATCCAGGGGTGGGATTCAAATAATTTTAACAACCGGTTCTCTGCCCTAATGATGCAAGTTCTCCAATTCAACCAATTCACCAAGCTGCTCAGAAAGTTAACAACCGGTTCTCCCGAACTGGTGCGAACCGGCTGAATCCCACGACTGGGTACATCTCAACGTACGACCGCAAACGGAGCCCCGGAATTGACGTTGCTAAGCGAGAAATCGGTTAAGTGACTTTTGCCCCATTCTTCGACTTTTTTCGCCGCGACGCTTAAAACAAATCCCTGCCTTTGCTAAGTGAGTCACACGGTTGTTAAACGAATCTGGCTTCCCGGTTGATTTCGCTCGTCAGGAGGTTGCAGAGGAGGGGAATCATGTGACACCCCCCCCCCCCGCTTCCCAAAAGACATGGCAACCGTCGTAAGTCTCTGCATTGGCCCCTTAGCTTCATCAGATGTGACGGCCACGTACCGGTCAAAGATGCGCGGTGTTGTGTCTCTCTCAACAACGGCGGTAAACTTGCCGACAACGGCAGCAGTTTCGGTGCAGTTTCCCCGTATGGGCCCGAAAAGTCTTGTTTCTGTTTTGCAGTCTCAGCACAAGTCACTGCAGCGTTTCCCACTGAGCTGGGAAGGACCAGAAGGTGAAGGATGCGGTTGCCATGGTGATAATTCATCTATGAAAGAGAGAGTAGTTTGCCCATCTTCCTTTTGTGAGGCTGGGTAGAAGCCAAGAATACGGGTCGTTTAACTATTTATTTATTTATTTATCTATCTATCCCAACTTCCTTTCAACTCGCCTGGCAACCACGACAATGTCGGTCGTTTTCGACTTACGACCCCAAGGACGCCCGGCGTTTCGGTTGCTAAGTGAGGCAGCCGTTAAGCGGGTTTTGCCCCGTTTGGCGACCTTTCTTGCCACGGTGGTTAAGTGAATCCGGCTTTCCCCGTCAACTTTGCTGGTCAGGAGGTCGCAAAAGGGGGATCCCCTGGGAGGCTGCAACCGTCACAAGGACAAGTCAGTTGCCAAGTCTTCTGAATTTTGACCACCTGAGCATGGGGATGCTGCAGCGGCCATGAGGGTGAGAAATGGTCACGAGTCGCTTTTTTCTCCAGTGCTGTTGGAAATTTGAACGGTCGCTAAAGGAATGGTGGTACGTCAAGAGCTACCTAGAATTAAGGAGAAATTTCCTGACAGTTAGAACAATTAATCAGTGGAACAACTTGCCACCAGAAGTTGTGGGTGCTCCAATGTTGGAGGTTTTTAAAGAAGAAATTGGATAATCATTGGTCTGAAGTGGTGTAGGGTTGCCTGCCTAAGCAGGGGGTTGGACTAGAAGACCTCCAAGGTCCCTTCCAACTCTGTTATTCTGTTCTGGTTCTGGTTCTGTTCTGTTCTGTTCTGTTCTATTCTATTCTACATTGTATTAGTGTCTACTCCTATTCTATTCTATTCTATTCTATTCTATTCTATTCTATTCTATTCTATTCTACTCTACTCTACTCTACTCTACTCTACTCTACTCTACTCTACATTGTATTAGTGTCTACTCCTGTTCTGTTCTGTTCTACTCTACTCTACTCTACTCTACTCTACTCTACTCTACTCTACTCCACTCCACTCCACTCCACTCCACTCCACTCCACTCCACTCCACTCCACTCCACTCCACTCTCTACCGTCTACTCTCTACTCTCTACTCTCTATTCTGTTCCATTCCATTTCATATTTTCTATTCTATTCTATATATTCTATTCCACATTGTATTAGTCTCCATTCTACTCTACTCTATTCTAGTCTACCTTGTATTAGTCTCTATTCTATTCTATATATTCTATTCTATTTTATATATTCTATTCTACATTGTATTAGATTCTACTCTGCTCTATTCTATTCTGTATTGTATTAGTCTCTATTCTATTCTATATAATCTATTCTATTTTATATATTCTATTCTATTCTATTCTATATATTTTATATATTCTACATTTTATTAGTCTCTACTCTACTCTACTCTACTCTACTCTACTCTACTCTACTCTACTCTATTCTTTCCATTAGATATGTGTAGAGTTGGTCATCCCATTGGGGGCACCCCTAAGGGTCAAAATCCTAACATCTGTTCCCTATTGCACAGACCCCCCTCCAGAAAAAAAACGAACTGAATTACAAACAGCCGTCCCCTGCTTCTTTCCTAAAAGCAGCTTCTTTTGCTGTTTTTTCCTGCTCCCACCAACGCTCTAGTGAGCCCTCCACGCTAAGAGAGACTAATTGCCGCCATCATTCTAATTAAACCTCAATTATCTCGTTACTGGAAAGGAGGCACGGCTAACATACCAAACGAAGCTGGATGCAGCAAAACTCCTGTGGCCAGAAACTTGCTTTGAATGACTCAACGTTGCTCGGTGGAGCATTTTGAGCTCAATTCTA